AAATCCGAACCGACCGAATCCAACCCAAGAACACGCAAAGCCGCTCCGCAAATGGCCGCCACCGGTTCGTCCCGGGAATGAAAAAAAAAGAACCGCAGGACGCTCTCCCGAAGACGAATTCCGTCGGTACCGGTCTCTCGTCGGGCCCGAAATACGGCTGCCGCTTTCCGGTATCGAGAAGAAAATTTAGGTGGTCACGGATCCGCGGTTTCTGTCACGTGCTTTTCGACAATAAATCGGGAGGCGTTCCTGTCGGGTCGTTTAGCCCTCGTCGCGTAATTGCTAACAGCGTGCTTAAATATAAGCCATTTGTCCTCGCTGCGACTGAGCCCTCCTTCTCTCTCTATATCTCTCTGACTCTCTTTCTCTTTCTTTCTTTTTTGTTCTTTTTCTTTCTCTCTCTCTCTCTCTCTCTCTCTCTGTCTTTCCTCTTCTCTCTCTCTTCCCTTTTTCCCTCTCTTTTTCCTCTTTCCCTCTCCTTTTCTCTTTCCCTCTCTCTTCTCTTTCCTTCTCTCTTCCCTTTCCCTCTCTCTTCCACTTTCCCTTTCTCTCCTTTCCATCTCTCTTCCTCTTTCTTCTCTCCCCCCCTTCGCTCTCTTCCTCTTTCCCTCTCTTTAATCTTTCTCTCCCCCCCCCCCTCACACACACAAACGTATACGTCTTTAAATCTAAAAACAAAAATATTCAGACATACATCTGCATATAAATACTATAATTTCGATGCTAAGACACTGTCAGTGGTGTTTACGAACTCAACACATCTTTTCACAATCTTTTTTCTTTCTATTTCCATTTTCTTCTTTCTTTCTATTTCTATATCTTAAACGTCCCGCTCTTTAGATATATTCCCGCATTATCTCCCTCCATTTCTCATGAAAAATGTCCGCATAGTCTCTAAGTCTTTCTCCGCCTGCAAACGACCTGCTCACGTCGCAGCCTCACGAGAACGACTCATCCCGAACAAATGAAACCAGAGAGGCGCTTGAGAACGACTCATAGAACGACTATCATCCCGAACAAATGAAACCAGAGAGGCGCACGAGAACGACTCACAGAACGACTCATCCCGAACAAATGAAACCAGAGAGGCGCTTGAGAACGACTCATAGAACGACTATCATCCCGAACAAATGAAACCAGAGAGGCGCACGAGAACGACTCACAGAAACGACTCATCCCGAACAAATGAAACCAGAGAGGCGCTTGAGAACGACTCATAGAACGACTATCATCCCCGAACAAATGAAAGAGAGGCGCTTGAGAACGACTCATAGAACGACTCATCCCGAACAAATGGAACCAGAGAGGCGCTTGAGAACGACTCATAGAACGACTCATCCTAAATAAATGAAACCAGAGAGGCGCTTGAGAACGACTCACAGAACGACTCATCCCGAACGAATGAAGCCAGAGAGGCGCTTGAGAACGACTCACAGAACGACTCATCCCGAACAAATGAAAACCAGAGAGGCGCTGAGAACGACTCACAGAACTCATCCCGAACTGAAACTCGACGAACGACTCATCCGAACCAGAGAGCGCAGTGACTCACAGAACGACTCATCCCGAACAAATGGAACCAGAGAGGCGCGCGAGAAACGACTCACAGAACGACTCATCCCGAACAAATGAAACCAGAGAGGCGCTTGAGAACGACTCACAGAACGACTCATCCCGAACAAATGAAACCAGAGAGGCGCTTGAGAACGACTCATAGAACGACTCATCCGAACAAATGAAACCAGAGAGGCGCTTGAGAACGACTCATAGAACGACTCATCCCGAACAAATGAAACAGAGAGGGCTTTGAGAACGACTCATAGAACGACTCATCCCAACAAATGAAACCAGAGAGGCGCTTGAGAACGACTCATAGAACGACTCATCCGAACAATGAAACCAGAAGAGGCGCACGAGAACGACTCACAGAACGACTCATCCGAAAAAATGAAACCAGAGAGGCGCTTGAGAAACGACTCATAGAACGACTCATCCCGAACAAATGAAACCAGAGAGGCGCACGAGAACGACTCACAGAACGACTCATCCCGAACAAATGAAACCAGAGAGGCGCTGAGAACGACTCACAGAACGACTCACCCGAACTGAACAGAGAGGCGCTTGAGAACGACTCACAGAACGACTCATCCCGAACGAAATGAAACCAGAGAGGCGCTTGAGAACGACTCATAGAACGACTCATCCCGAACAAATGAAACCAGAGAGGCGCTTGAGAACGACTCATAGAACGACTCATCCGAACGAATGAACCAGAGAGGCGCTTGAGAACGACTCACAGAACGACTCATCCCGAACGAATGAAACCAGATGAACGACTGAACAAATGAACCAGCGGCGCTTGAGAACGACTCATAGAACGACTTCATCCGAACAAATGAACCAGAGAGGGCGCTTGAGAACGACTCACAGAACGACTCATCCCGAACAAATGAAACCAGAGAGGCGCTTGAGAACGACTCACAGAACGACTCATCCCGAACAAATGAAACTATAGAGGCGCTTGAGAACGACTCACAGAACGACTCATCCCGAACGAATGAAACCAGAGAGGGCGCTTGAGAACGACTCATAGAAACGACTCATTCCCAAGCGAATGAAACCAGAGAGGCGCTTTGAGAACGACTCATAGGAACGACTTCATCCGAACAAATGAAACCAGAGAGGCGCTTGAGAACGAACTCATAAGAACTGACTCATCCCGACGAAATGAAACCAGATGAGGCGCTTTGAGAACGACTCATAGAACGATCATTCCCGAACGGGAATGAAACCAGAGGGCGCACGGAGAACGACTCACAGGAACGCTCATCCCGGAACAAATGAAAACAGGAGAGGCAGCTCACAAAACGACCTCCATCCAACCGCTTTTTTTGTTGTGAGTTTGGCTTTAGTAACCTGTAGCTCAATTCCTTGGTCGGAGTGTTTTTGTTTTGTGTTGTTCTAATAGAGGTCTAGGTCTTTGATCTACGATCTTTTGTTGCTTGTTGTCTGTGTATGTCTTTGTTGCGTAGTTATGTCTTGTTAAATGAAACTCAGATGTTAGTGCTGCGATCGTTGTTGTGTTGGTTTTTGTGGTATTTGGTTGTCTTTTGTTTTGGGGTTGGATGGAGAGTATCTGCAACCAGGATTACGACTTCATCCGAACAAATTGAAACCCCAGAGAGGCGCTGAAACGATACAGAACGACTCATCCCGAACGGAATAAACAGAGAGCGGCACGAGAACGACTCACGAACGACTCATCCCGAACAAAATGAAACCAGAGAGGCGCTTGAGAACGACTCACAGAACGACTCATCCCAAACAAATGGCCAGAGAGGCAAGAGAACGACTCACAGAAACGACTCATCCGAACAAATGGAACCAGAGAGCTTGAGAACGACTCATAGAACGACATCCGAACGAATGAAACCAGAGAGGCGCTTGAGAACGACTCACAGAACGACTCATCCCCGAACAAATGGAACCAGAGAGGAGACCGACGAACGACTCATCCCGAACGAATGACTCACATCATCCGAAACAAATGAGAGAGAAGGCGCAAGAGAACGACTCACAGAAACGATCATCCCGATGATGAAACCAGAGAGGCGCTTGAGAACGACTCACAGAACGAACTATCCCGAACAATGAAAACAGAGAGGCCGCACGAGAACGAATCAGCAGAGAACCCCCCGCCCAAAAAATCATCCGAAACAGATGAGCCAGAAAAGGCGCCAAGAAGACTCACGACTCAAACCGAACGACTCACAAACGACTCATCCCGAACAAATGAAACCAGAGAGGCGCTTGAGAACGACTCACAGAACGACTCATTCCGAACAAATGAACAGAGACGCTTGAACGACTCATCCCGACAAATGAAAGGCGCACGAGAAACGACTTCCCGAACAGATGAAACGAGAGGCGCTTGAGAAACGACTCAGAACGACTCAACCGAACGAATAATGAGAAACCAGAGAGGCGCTTGAGAACGACTCACAGAACGACTCATCCCGAACAAATGAAACCAAGAGAGGCGCGAGAACGAACTCACAGAACGACTGCCATCCCGAACAAATGAAGCCAGAGAGGCGCACGAGAAACGACTCCAACAAGACACGACTCATCCCGAACAAATGAACGCCAGAGAGGCGCACGAAGAACAGACTCACAGAACGACTCAACTCCCGAACAAAATGAAGCCAGAGAGGCGCCCACGGAGAACGACTCAACAGAAGCGACATCATCCGAACAGATGAAACCAGAGAGCGCTAGAGGAACGACTCACAGACAACGACCTCATCCAAACAAAATGAAAACCATGAGAGGCGCCTAGAGAACCGACTCACAGAACGGACCTCATCCCCGAACAAATGAAACCAGAGAGGCGGCACGAGAAACGAACTCCAATCCCCGAAACAAATGATACCAGAGAAGAGACGCTGAGAACGACTTACACAGCGAACGAC